AATCCAGGTCTTCTGCTCTCTAGAGCCCATTCTCTTAATCACCATTATCTCTGACCTAGAACACTGAAGAGTCTCCTAAGTACTTGCTACTCAAAGGATAGTCCATAGACCAGCAGCAACAGCCTGCTGGTGCTGGCCCATTCCAGATCTGCTGGCCCATTCCAGATCTGCTGAATCAGACTCCACATTTTAAGATCAGCGGGAGATTCACATGCACATTAAAGTTAAAGAAACGCAAGACTATGTGGTTTTCCCACATTATTACCTCTCACAAATTCATCATCCATACTGCATCCAAAGTCTTTAAAAAACAAATCCAATAATTTTATTTCTCCACTTGAGACTTTTAAATGGTTTCACAAATACCCTTGGAATAAAGTCCAAAATTCTTTTGCAATACAGATAACTGGACTCTGCATAATATCACCCATGCCTGCCTCTGCAGCCTCATCTCTCCCACCTCCCCCATTCAGTGATTTGTATACCCCAAGCACAAAGACTTTTCTGCTCATCAAATCCCAACACACTCCACCTTCCTTGCTTCTTTCCTTCAAGTTCTTCCCTGCTTAGAATATACCACAACCCACCACCATGACCACCTCCATGTCAGCCACATTCAAGGCTGTATCTCCACTGCATAACAGTGCAGTGCCTGGCACAGAGCTAGGAGCAGGATAAATGTGCTCAATAAATACATGCTTAAGACAACTTGACTGAGGGCCTCAACTGTTTCCTTCGTTCATCTGCTCTTTGCTCTCGCTATGATCCTCATTTCATTTCTCCTTCCCTATCCCCAGCATCACCCCTCTTCTGTAACTCACCTCTCTATCAGTAACCTCATGGCTACTGAAGTTGTCAGCTTTAGAAAGAAGCACTGCCGTGTCCACATAGCCACTGCCCCGGGATTACTCACCAGCTGGATGACAACTGCTTCACTTTAACCCTGAGGCTCCTGGGATAGGCCCAGTCCTTTCCAGAAGTGGACAGAAGGCCCTACTGACCGTTTTTCAACCCAAGATTTAATATATAGATGAAACCAGAGATCAGGGACCTCTCAGCAGTCAATGAAGAGCCAAAAGCTTCACTATCTCTCTGCCTACACAAGACACTTTCACTGAGCTGACAAGATGGATTATCAAGAGTTGCAGTTAACTTCATAGTTTATATGTGATGGCCAAGCTTGCTACTCTAAGAAAACAAATGACAAGACCCTTTTATAAAACAGATATCTGCCTCCAGTTTAAATCCCGAGTAAATATATTTTCATATACACATTTACATTAATAATGACAAAAATAAGATCTACTCATCTATTAAATGCAAGCTATTGAGCACCTGACATGCTCAAAGCTTTAAACACACTATCTTATTTAATCTTTATCATCACTTTATGCGGTAGAATGCTTATTATCCTTGCTTTACAGAAGAGGAAACCAAGGGCTTAGTAACATGCCTAAGAGGCAGGGCTGGGATTTCAGTCATAGGCCTTCAGACTACCACTCTCTATTGCTTCTCTATGTTTTGCTATTTGGATCACTTTCTCATCTTAGAAGTCACAGACTTGGACATTCCCAAAGCAACAGTCCCTCAGAGGATGACCTCAAAAGCTGTAGCAACAGCTTGTATTTCAAAGCTGCCTTTCTGCATTAAAAGAGAAAACTGAGATTCAGGGGAAAAATGTGGGAATAGAGCTCAAAGGTACTTATGAATGCCATTCCACAAATACTTTTTCCGTGTCTACTAGTGGTCACGCACTTTGCTGGAAGCTGACTGATCAGACTGTCATTTAGGAGAGTGCTGGTGGGACAGAGGGTGACCAGGAGAACATCTCCCATAATGACTATCTCAGGAATGTTTAGCCAGTAATTTATAAAACTGCTACTTTATTATCTAATTATGTAGAAATCATCTTTCACACACAAGAGGTGAGAGTAATCTGCTTTATCTGTGAATACATAATTGAAAGGGCCAATGTGTCTTCTAAAACAAAAGTTTTATATAATTCAAACAACTCATGTGTTCATTTATGTTACCCTATATTAGAGGATTAGATTTGAACATATGTGAATGCAAACACAATGTCAGAATTTGTTCTCGTGTCTTACAGGACAAAAGAGAAAAGAGTATTGGGAGCCAAGACAAGACTAATTCCCAAAATACAAATGGAACATATTGAAGCTGCATGTACATTAAAAGAAAGAGAGCTGCATGTACACAGAAACATTTCCTAAAGCATTCCACCAAACATGTACAGGAATAAGGCGAGGACAAGGATACTAAGTAAAATAAAGCATGAGCCTAAAAGGTCACATACAGGACTATGAGGCCTCCAGAACCCTGCCTCCTTGCAGAAACAGAATGCTTCTGACACAAGGGCATGAGATGAAGGCTGTGAATGTTGTACCTCAATTCCCTAATTTTTTAAATGAAAAAGTTAGATTAGATGATTTATAAGGTCCTTCTAGCCCTAACCCATTAGCTACTTTTCATCCATGAGGCCCTGTACCTAAAGAGAGATGAGCTATATGTTCAGAAAACATTTGTTGAATTCATGAAATATTACGTTACCAATAATAAGAAAAGAGACTTTACAACAATTGGTCCTGGTCTGTGGCCTAGGAAGAACAAATTAGGAGAGAAACCATTATCTAAACAGCTTCACATATGGTATCCCTGCTAGCTGTCTGCTGGTAGAATGAAAATAACCCTGGACTTGGAAACAAGACGTTCGGGTCTAGTCTCATCCCTGACACAGACCAGCTGTGTGACCTTGGGCAAACTGCTTCACCACCTGCACCAGTTTCCTCATCTCTAAAATAAAAGTATTATAAAACTCTATATAGCTAACATTTGTGGAACCTCTACTATATGCCAGGAACTGTTCCAAGATATTTGCCTTAGATTTAAATGATCTCAAAGGTTTTTGCAGCACTACCGTTTAGTGTTTAACTACAGAGGCAACATGGTATAGTGGAAAGATTCCAAATTCCGTACTCAGAAAGCTCGGGCTCCCTCCACCTCCATAAGATAGAGTCTTTTTCTAAGCAGAGTCTGTCAAGCAGACTGGGTTACAATCTCGGTAGTTCTATTCACTAGCTTAGTTAACTTCGACACGTTGCTCAACTTCCCTATTTCCTAGCCTTAGTTTTCTAATATGGAAAATGCATATGAAAATGGCTATTTCTCTCATATAGCGCTTGAGAGGATTAAACTATAACTAAATGTAATATCTACTTATTTATAAAAGATATATTACATTTTATTACTAGGTGTGTGACCGTGTACAAATCGTCTTCTCAAGTTTTTTTCTTATCTACAAATGGGAGATACAGTATTATTACGAGAGATAGTATGAACATGCTCTGTAAACTGTTGAGTGTTAGCACTGTTTGAAAGCATGCATAATTCCTAAGATACTTAGAAAAGCGTATACAATAAACCCCCACGTAGTACTTGGAAGAGCGTATACAATCAAAAACAACAAAAACACATTTTTGCTAAACATATTTCACTACACCCGGCTCGCAGCTAGTGGACGCAGGGCAAGCAGCCCAGAACGCAGGGCCACATGGAAGTTGTAGTTCCGAGTCAAGGGGCTGCTCCAGAGAACTGCTGGAAGTGAGACTTCAACTCCCAGGAGACACCTCGCCAAGCCAAATGACACGCTGGGAGATGGAGTACCAGCCCTCCGGGAAACTAGAGGCGGGACTACAACTCCCAGAAGCCTCCGCTGCCCCGGACCGCCGGCGGTAAGATGGAGCCAGAAAATGGAGAGTTCAGGTACAGGACCTTAACAGGTGCGAGTCGGGGCCGCTTTCGGTAGTCCCGGACCCAGCAAGGATCTGAGCCTTTCTAACATGACCACAGGCTGTATTCTATGCCGATCCCAAGCACAGTTCTGAGAGACGCACAATAATAAAAGTTTGAATGTGGCAAACTTTCACAAGCAAGACTTCATCTAGATTTCAGCTCCTGGCAGCTCCTTGGGCCACTTAGGCAGGGAGCGTTAAGTTCTTTTTTCCCCGGTAAGCACTGTGAGTGGCTGGTCATACAGCAGAGGCAGAATTTGATCCTAGAGAGGAAGCTGCAAATCCAGCTCCAGTTCCACTAACCGGCCTTTTTCCCCCACATGAACACACCTTAAAAATCCCCCCATGTTTTCATATAAAAACTGCATTAGGGCTTCCCTGGTGGCGCAGTGGTTGGGAGTCCGCCTGCCTATGCAGGGGACGCGGGTTCGTGCCCCGGTCCGGGAGGATCCCGCATGCCGCGGAGCGGCTGGGCTCGTGAGCCATGGCCGCTGAGCCTGCGCGTCCGGAGCCTGTGCTCCGCAAAGGGAGAGGCCGCGGCAGTGAGAGGCCCGCGTACAGCAAAAAAAAAAAAAGAAAGAAAAAAAAAACCTACATTAAGCCATAAAATAGATGTAAGGAAGTCCAACAGAGTACTGATTTCTCCCACCATAATGAATTATTTTTTTGTGTCTTTTAAATACTAAATGTAAAATTCTCTCCCAAAATATTGCCTTCCCCGTGTCCTGCTTAGCTCCTCCTCCTGGACACTTGTTCAAACGCTCCTCCCTCCCCCTGGGGAACCCAGAGCTGGATGTTTAACACACATCTGTTGGGGCACAGAGTCCTGCTACTTGACAGTAAAACTGAAAAAAATCCAAAAGCGGCCCATGCCAACTACACCACCAGAGCCAGGAGCTGGGGCGTCCCCTGGAACCGCTGGCATGCCCCCATGCCTCAGTTTACCCACTTACAAAATGCGGCGGAGGAGGGGCGGGTTAGGGTTAGGGCCGGTGCTCAGGAAGTGGCCGTGAGAAGGTGAGGTGAGGTGGGAGGGTCCTCCCGACAGACCCCCCACTACCTCCCAACGAGCTGCGTGGACCCAGTCAGTCCCCGCTCCACTGGACCACCGGAGTAATGACGAGACGCGCGCGGAACCCCGGATCTGCGCCACAGAAACACTGTTCGACTTGGGCTTGCCCCCGCCCCTACCTTCCAAGATCTTGGCAGCTGGGAAGTGAAAGGCAGAGGGAGGGAGCGCGGGGCAGAAGCAGTTCCCGGGCGTGTGCCCACGGGAGTGGCTGCCTGAGGGACCCAGGAGCAGAGGGCAAAAAGCCTCTCCACTGAACGGAGCGGAGCAAGGACTACAACTCCCAGACGGCCCCGCGGCGGGGAAGGGCCCCAACATGGCTACTCGTCTGGGGACAGACGCTCGGGCCAATAGGCGCAGAGCACGTGCCTATACCGGGCCAATCAAAAGCCATAATGACAAAAATCCCTGTTTAGGGGACGGGAAACACTGTCGCTCTCTGGAAAGAAGCTGAGGTGAGAATTCCCTCAGAAAGGGATTTCGTCATAATCCACACAATCTTTGTTTTTTACCAAATGTAAAAAGTAACATGATTGTTTAGGCTGTGCTGCATTTTTGCTTCCTTCTTTCCTCCCACAAGCGCTCAACTTACCCACCCCTCACTGCTCCTCACTGTCTGAATTGCCTTTCGCTTCGTTTCCTCACTCTGGATCTTTTTTGATACCTAAAGCCTTCCTTTCTTTTGTTTCTCTCAGCACGCGGGCTCGCAGGCCTTAATTGAACCGGTGTATGACTGCACTCCGCCTTCCCGGGCATCCTAACCAAAATTGAACCACAGACTCCCCTGTCCATTCCTTTCTTCTTTTTGTGTGTTATTTTTCTCCTTAGCTCTTGTCCTTAACCAAGCATTGTATATAATTTATCTTTTTTATCATCTTACCCCTTAGAATGAAAGATCTGTTATAGATATGGGGTTTTTTTTCTGGTCACTGCAGTGTTTCTAGCACCTAAAAGTATAAATAGTATCTATAATATATATAGTATAATATTTTATATTATAAATTTTAATTTAAACTTATATATAATCCATATATTTATATACTATAAAATTTCTATTATAATATTTTATATAGTATATATATACACCCATACTATATGTATTACATATAGTGTATATATATATATGTATATAATAGACACTCAGTAAATGTATTTCAAGTAATTAAATGAATTATTCTCTATTCTCCCTTTCTTTGGTGCAGATCAGTTCAGTTCATGTCTGACCACCGTGGGGCCCTTGTGCTTGCTCCCTTTTTAAATTCAAAATCATTCAGTATATTCTGCCCAGTGCCATATAGGTGCTGGAGAAATTGAATCATTCTCAGTTCCTAACCTCAAGATGCTCCTGGTCTAGGGGAGGATGAGAAGCAAACATAATTTTGCAATAAATGCAACTGAAAATTGCAGAACAGCTAAATAATTTCACAAAGGCATACAGCTCATTAACAGGGACTAGAATCCTGGTCTTCAGACTCTTGTTACTACACCATGCTGCTTCTTATAGCTACCTCTCTTCTTCAAGATTGCCTCCTTCCCTTTTCTTTCCTCCCAATCCTAGTGCCAAGGAAAAAGAGACATTTGCCAGTCATCTTTTACATTTAAAAGGGAGAAACAAAGAGCAATTACACTTGGACAAACACTTAGATAGGTCCCTACTTTCCCTGACACCATTTTCTTTTTTCTTTCTTTTTTTTTTTTTTTGTGGTACGCGGTCTTCTCACTGTTGTGGCCTCTCCCATTGCGGAGCACAGGCTCCGGACGCGCAGGCTCAGCAGCCATGGCTCACGGAACAAGCGGCTACGCGGCATGTGGGATCTTCCCGCACCGGGGCACAAACACATGTCCCCTGCATCGGCAGGCGGACTCTCAACCACTGCGCCACCAGGGAAGCCCCTTCTTTTTTTTTTCTCTCACTTTTTTCTTTGGCCTGCTTCATTACATGCAGGTGATTACACCAAGTCTTAGATCTCACATCCTTTCTGATGTTTGAACCCCACAGATAGTAGCGAGGTGTCCTACAAAATGTCCTGGTGTGAAACACTGATGTCTTAGGAAGCTTGACTCAGAGAATGTCACAGTGGATTATGGTCAGTTTCCAGATCATCACACAGACACCGTGGCCGCATAAAATAATAGAGAATTGTGAATAGGTGAAATTGAAAACAATTGCAGTTAAAACAGCAGAAATATGATCAATATGTGTACAGACTGATTTCATGCACAGGGATTAAAACCCCTGTCCAGGCTTCCTACCCTAATCTTCTGTTAATTTGGGGTGGTTGCCTATAATACAGCAGTTCTTTCTAGCTTTTATGAGAAAAAAGCAGTCCCAGCTTTTCTCAGGCTGATTGGCATGAGAGATTTCAACACAAATGTCAGCAGCCACACTAAATGTGGAAGAAATTACTGAACCATATGAAACTGGAAAGCTCAACAACTAGACTCTTCTCCTGAGAAAGTATCAGCCTATAATCATTACATCTCCTACTTAGCAATCAGAAGGTAAATATCATGAACATACTTAGGATCTAAACAGTGGTATCTAAAGATTATTAAACCATTGTCTGGCAACCTACTATGAACATATGCGTATTCAGCTGTGAATGACGCTGTCTGATTGGCATGATCTTCGGCAGTATATACATTCACAGAGAGCTTTAAGATACGACACTTGAACCGGTTTGCAGGGTAGAAATTGAGACACAGATGTAGAGAACAAACGTATGGACACCAAGGGGGGAAAGCGGTGGCGGGTGGTGGTGGTGGTGTGATGAATTGGGAGATTGGACCCAGGACATGCAAGTGCCGAGATAATCAGTGGGGAGATAACTATCTGATCTGCAGCTTCATTAGTAATCACCTGGAGATGGCATCTTAGTTTGTGTTCTCCCACAAGTATATCCTGAGACAAGTATTCAAGTGCAAGTAGTTTATTTAGGAGGTAATTGCAGGAAACTGCAGTGGGAGAATAGGAAAATGAAATGCGGAAGGGAAGACAGACAAAGAAGGTGCACTATCAAGCATATTACTACTCGGGGTGATCAGAGCTTAATCTTCCTGGGGAACTCTAGGAAACAATGTGGAACCCATGCCTTAGATTGAGCTATCCCACCAAAGGGACAAAAGAACCCTATTGTTTATACACCATCTCCCATCAGTCAATGATTGGGGGCTGTTTTCAGGGGCTATTAAGTCCCTGGCTCTTCATCATACTGTATGAAAGGCAGAGTTGCTCAGTGACCTGAGGAAGCCAGAGATACAGGTGCTGCCATGGTGGGACACCAGTAGTATCTGCTACAGGTGGCTTTGGTTCACCACAAGCTTTTATCACTGAGACTAGCAGAATAAGAATAATTCAAAATTCAATAAATACGTACAAAAAGAACTAACCAAATGAACAAAAAAACCAAGCAGCCTACCACCTTGTATACCTCATCACGTGAACAGTTAAAATAGACAGCACTTTCTAAATCCTCACTAAAACAAAAACTGAACAAAAACGGCAACAACAAAAACCTCTTTTACACTGGGAAATCTTTGGGGACTTACGGAGAAGCTTCAGAGGAACTGGGGTTTAGTAGAGAGGGGAGGAATGAGATCAAGAAAAGGGGAAAAGGGAAATTAAAGAAATATTGCTGGAGGCAATGTGTTCATTTCGTGATATTGAAGAAACATAAGTAAAGATTTTTGAGAAGTTAGCATTAAATGCATAAACTGTGTCTTTAGACCTAAAAGACAGGTTTTTTCCCCAATTTTATTGAGATATAATTGACATACATCACTGTATAAATTTAAGGTTTACAGCATAATGGTTTGACTTACATATATTGTGAAATGATTACCACAATACATTCAGCTAACATTCATCTTCTCATATAGATAAACTAAAAAGAAAGGAAAAAAATTATCCTTGTGATGAGAACTCTTTAAGATTTACTTTCTTAACTTTGCTATATATCGTACAGTAGTGTTAGCTGTAGTCATGTTCTACATTACACATCTAGTACTAATTTATCTTGTAACTGGAAGTTTGTACCTTTTGACCACCTTCCTCAGTTCCCTCTCCCCCAACCCCCTGCCTCTGGTAACCACAAATCTGATCTTTTTCTATGAATTTGGTGTGGGGTTTTTTGTTTTTTGTTTTTTGTTTTAGATTCCACATATAAGTGAGATCATACAGTTTTGTCTTTCTCTCCCTGACTTATTTTACTTAGCCTACTGCCCTCAAGGTCCATCCATGTTGTCACAAGCAGCAGGATTTCCTTGTTTTTTTATGGCTGAATAATATTCCATTATTATGACATTCCATATAATATTGCATATTCGACAACTTCTTTATCCATTCCTCCGTTGATGAATGCTTAGGTTGTTTCCATGTCTTGCCTATTGTAAATAATGTTCCTATGAACATGAGAGTGCATATATCTTTTTGAGTTAGTGTTTTCATTTCCTTTGGATATATTCCCAGAAGTGAAATTGCTGGATCATATGGTAGTTCAATTTTTAATTTTTTGAGGATCCTCCTTACTGTTTTCCATATGGCTGTACCAGTTTACAGTCCCACCAACAGTGCACAAGGGTTCTCTCATCACATCCTTGCCAGCATTTTTTATCTCTTCTCTTTTTGTTAATGGTCATTCTAACAGATGGGAGGTGATACCTCATTGTGGTTGTGATTTCCATTTCCCTAATGACTAATGATGTTGAGCATCTATTCATATACCTGTTGGCCTTTCGTATATCTCCTTTGGAGAATTGTAGAAGACAGTTTTGTGAAAGACTTCTGTGGGTTGTGCCATAATAGCACTTCTTCATAGCAAGTAGCTTTACTTGAAATTATAGTCCCTATTTATGTCTTTCTGTTTATCATCTTTCACCTCCAAGTAGAATGTAAGCCTCTGAAGGCAAGAACTTTGTTTTTGTCTTATTCGATAGTAGGCACTCAATAAATATGTGGTAAAAGAATGACTATGTTATGGCCACAAAAGCAAACAGGGTAAGTACTACAAGGACCTGATATTTGTACCACTCACTGCATTCAGCTAAGCCATAAAGTAAAGAGACAAAAGTAACCCCACAATAACCTCTCATTATCGCAAAGCTTAGGACCACCCTGATGTGTAAAAACCTGGTCGTCACATACTTTTCTGCTTTAGCCAAACACTCCCAACAGCTCACAGGACCTACAAAGAAATCTTTACCATGGAAACAGAATTTCAAAACTGGAAAGGCCTAGAGGTCAAAGAGTTGAACCCTCTA